ATACAGGACACTAATACACCCTCCCTCCATAATGCAGTATACTATGTATCATAAAGCTCATCCGGTGACGCGTGCAAGATCAAACAAAAAGTAACACGTTTTATTTTATTATATATGCTTTTACAATAGTAAACAACAACAAACAATAATATTTAATGTAAACGCTTCAATTTCACATGAACATACAAAGTACAACTCATCTGTGCCCCCAGTTTAAAAACAGAAAAAACCTATGGATAATTAAGTCTACCAAATTTATTTAATTTAATAAAGGTAGTGTATATATACTGAGCGCCAAAACACATCACTTTTTCCCCCAAATATTTTATTACTAGGTGGTTTTGTATGTATAATATTATGCAATACTATGAACTATTGTTTCACACAATGCTCCCAAACACAAAAAATATCGGCCCGTGTGCAAAAAAAAAAATTGCACGAGATGCACATGAAAACCCCAATATTCACGTGCAGCATTGTGTGTGAGCCCTTTAAAAGCATGTTTTCAATTTAATTTGCAGTATATGAACTGTGAAACGTCAATCTGTCGTAATTTGTTGTTGGACGTATGAAGGAATCGAGCTAGAGATGCCGAGACTTACTGAAAATCAATGGAATGAAGCCATGGGAATGTCCAGGGCTGGCATGTCTACACGTGCTATTGCCAGACACTTCAATTGTCATCAGTCCACTATTGTAAGGTTGGTGGAACGTGTTCGAGTTACTGGATCAACACGTGACTGTCAACGTCCTGGTTACAACCCAGGCTCAAGACCGCTACATCCAGGTCACTCATCTGCGTGACAGATTCCGCCCAGCAACTCAAACAGGTGCAGCAGTCGTCGGAAGACAAGGACCAGTAAGTGCCAGCACCGTAAGACGTCGTCTAAGAGAAGTAGGACTCCGTGCACGACGACCTTATGTTGGAGCTATCCTCAGGGACCATCACCGTCAGCGGCGTTTGATATGGGCTCAAGGACACCAGACATGGAGAAGAGTAGACTGGCAAAGTGTGCTCTTCAGTGATGAGAGTCGCTTTCATCTTTATCACGCTGATGGCCGTCAACGTGTGTGGAGACGTCTTGGGGAACGTCTTGCAGACTGCTGCGTCTTGGAAACGAATCGATGGGGTGAGGGAAGTGTAATGGTGTGGGGAGGCTTCACATTTCATCACCGGACCGCCCTAAACATTTGCTGGGGTCGCGTTAATGCTGTAGCCTACCGTGATGATGGCCCGAGGAGGACACACGGGCGACTGACATCTGTGTCGTACTTTTGGTTTTGACCCCTCTGACTTTGTACCCTTGATTACAGATTAAACATCCATAAGTGTACAATTGTGTTGTTATTGATGTGTTCCCATTTGAATATTGTTCACAATAAGAAGCAAAATAAATAAGATATGTTTACAGGATCATTTTGTTACACGAAAATCTAAGTGATGCGTTTTCAATGGCGCTCAGTAATTAATCTTTATGCACTATTGGGTGGGAAATGGTTGATATGTGAGAAGTTAATTACGATTTATTATATTCAACATATATAGCACAATAAAGCATATGTATATATAATTATGGAAGCCTATAACTACAATTTGTAATGTCTACTTTTTGTCCCTTCAGAATGGAAAATTAAGAGATAAACCCAACCCGATATTATGACTTCTACTTTTCGAGTTGCATTTTGACTTGTCTAGTGTGATGTCGACTTTGTCATTTTTTTGTATTTATTCATGTCAGTAAGAAGTGGCCAACACACTACAAAGCGAAAATGCAACCCTAAAAGAAGAAATTGGAAAATTAACACAGCGCAATATTAGGGACCTATCATTTTTGCTTGATGTTGTCATCACGCTAAACAAGCCAAAATGCAACTCGAATAGTAGAAGTCCCGACAAAACAAGGAGCGCAATTATCGCGGTGTGTTTATTTCTTAATTTCGTTTTTTTTAAGTCGAGTTTAGTCTCGGTCACCAAGAAACTCCTAGTCTTCGACGTACGGAGGGTCTGGGACCGTTGTCAATATTTGATAAAAAAAAAGTCCATTGCCCTTTCGTAATCAGGAGTTTGGCTTTTAACGTGGTTGATTATCCAGTATCTTTGGCCAAGTTCAGTAAGAGTTGCGCCCCTTCCCGCAATAAATCCCATAATTCTTGCATTAATATAAACAAACATAATTCGTGATGACGAATTAGGATTAATTTTAAAAAATATATATATATGTCCCATGAAGAGAAATTTTACAATAAAAAAAAATTAACGAGTGTTGGATATTGAACTGGCAATGCAATCAAATGGATTTTTTGAAATGACATTCTTATATTAATTTCATTGGCATCAACATTTTGTTTTAGGACTAGTTAACTCCCTTAGACTTTGTCTATGATAATGTAAATAGTCTGGAGGCTCAGCGCGGGGGGGGGGGGGGGTGGTGTCCATCAAATGGGCACAAAACCAGACCCAACTTTTCTAGAGTAAAATTTTGCGTAGAATACGATGCCGAGTGGTAATCAGTCCGGCGTTGGGGCGTTTTCGAGATATTCGGGGTCAAAGGTCAAATGGGTTCATTTGCACTGAAAGTGAATGCGCGGTCATTCTTGTATCATGAAAATAAGCTGAAAATGATCGAAAGTAATCACACTTTCAATAAAAATGTAAACTTGCTAAATTCACCTTTGTTCTTTGTGACCCCAGACGTCAAAAGGTCACATTTTCCGTTTAAGCACTAGGAAGATTTAAAGTAATAAATGTCGGCGTAAAATATAAAAAATAAAGCGAAACCTGTTCTAATTAATAATAGGAACATTTAAAATTTATTTTTAGGTGGTCTTAGCACCAATCTTTTACTTTGAAACGTCGAAAATGATCTTGCATAACAGAACCAAAACAGTAAAAACTGTTAAATCAAAATCTCTCCGAATTAGTTTTACAACGAATGCTATACATAATGGTACTTGTTGTCTGAAACAAGCCAACAGTGAGGCTGATGTCCCCCGCCGAAATAGGAAAATAATTAGAGGACACATATAAAAATCAAATTGCGTATCGCTCTGCTTACCCTGAGCAGAAAATGCTCATTATCAAACTTAGTCAAGGTATTACTGTAATGAAACTATACACCAAGTTTCATCAATCTCACTTAATTAGAACTAAAGTTATCGTGTCCCAAAGCATCAACCAATCAAATTGCTTATCTCTGCTTACCCTAAGCGGAAAATGCTCATCTTCGAACTCCATCAAGGCATTGACCTAATCAACACATACACCAAGTTTGAACATTCTAGCTCAATTAGGAAGAGAGTTATCGTGCCCCAAAGTATCAACCAATCAAATTGCTTATTTCTGCTTACCCTAAGCGGAAAATGCTCATTTTCGAACTCCATCAAGGCATTGACCTAATAAACACATACACCAAGTTTGAACATTCTAGCTCAATTAAAAGTTATCGTGTCCCAAAGCATCAACCAATCAAATTGCTTATCTCTGCTTACCCTAAGCGGAAAATGCTCATCTTCGAACTCCATCAAGGCATTGACCTAATCAACACATACACCAAGTTTGAACATTCTAGCCCAATTAGGAAGAGAGTTATCGTGTCCCAAAGCATCAACCAATCAAATTGCTTATCTCTGCTTACCCTTAGCGGAAAATGCTCATCTTCGAACTCCATCAAGGCATTGACCTAATAAACACATACACCAAGTTTGAACATTCTAGCTCAATTAGGAAGAGAGTTATTGTGTCCCAAAAAGTGTGACGGACAGACAGACGGGACAGACAGACAGACGGACGAACCCATTTTAATAGTCCCCTGCTTTCTTCGAAAGGCGGGGGACAAAAAACAATTAAATAGTTCTATGGCTGGACTCCAGCCTGCAGACGGCGTCACAAAGCCTGCCAAAATTTTCCCCACTAACATTTACCAATACGACATATATATCCTGTGAACTACTATGTACATTGCATTCGTCGGTTTTATCTGCGTCCGTGTTCCGGCGAAATTCATAAAAACTCATAAAAAGTTTTCCCGTCACAGATTAACGTCGGTTTTCCTAGACTGGGATTCTCGGAAATCCACGCGGCCTGCAGGCTGGAGCCCAACACTGAAACTATTCAATTGTTTTTCAGATAACTAGTATCATTATGTATAACAATCGTTGTGAAAATAAATCGGAGAGATTTCGATTTGACAGTTTTTACGTATTTTTGAAACAGGTTTCAAAGTGTGTTGGTTCTGTTATGCAAGATCATTTTCGACGTTCCAAAGTAAAAGTTCGGTGCTAAGACCACCTAAAGATAAATTTGAAATGTTCCTATTATTAATTAGAAAAGAGTTCGCTTTAATTTTTATATTTTACGTTGCCATTTTATTGCTTTAAATCTTCCTGGTGCAAAAACAGTAAATTTCACCTTTTGACCTCCAGGGTCACTAAGACAAAAGGTGAATTTAGCAAGTTTACATTTTTATTGAAAGTGTGATTACTTTCGATCATTTTCACCTTCTTTTCATAATACAAGAATGACTGCGCATTCACTTTCGGTGCAAATGAACTCATTTGACCTTTGGTCTAAAAAGACCGGATAATCTATCCGATGACCTATTATTCTCAAATGTTGACAACGCATCCAGACTAATATTCGTAGAATATTTTTCCGGATGATAGAGACTAAGTCGAGTTTTGCTTGATCTGCGTGCTGTCGGCTTACACTTTTTCGTAACTTCTACTTTCGCGTTCTGAAGGGGCGAAAAGTAGAAATCTGGAATGGTAGTTATAGGCTTCCATATATAATAGTCATTCCAACTATTATTAAGAAGGAGTTTAAGTTTACAGGGGTTTTTTGCCCATAAAAAGAAAAACATTATATAACGTTTGGAGCCGAATTAAAGGCCCTCTATAGACAGCTTCGGCTCTTTACAATGCATCTTTAATCACTGAATGTAATTAAATATTAGAATTCAACATTTCATGTCATGGTCAGGACCACATCTGCCATGCAAAGTTTAAGAATCTGTAAACTCAACCGGCTTCTTGACAAAACCAGATGTTCTACTGGTCTCAGTTGATTTTGTATCCATTGTATCAGAGGTTGTGGAACTTTTACCCCAACAAAGGATATTAGCTACAGCTTTACGGAAGGATTTGTTGAAGATGCAATAAACCAAGAAGCTAGTGCTGGAGTGAAGGTGAGCCAGAAGGGTGACAAACAAGTGAACTTCCATTGGTAACGAATCTTTGACATCCATGGCGATGACGGTAGTGTAGGGTGTCCAGCAGAAGACAAACACAAGGAATAGCACGAACAACGTTCGTGATGACTGGAGGGTTTGGGTCCATGTTTTCTTCAGGCGATCAGGATCATCAGTGTTGAGGCTGTAGACGTTGACCTTTGTCTCGTATATGTGGTAAAAGATGAGGACATAGCTGATACTCATGAGAAAAAGTGGACTTCCTATCAGAGCGATACTTACAAAGAGTGTGTAGGAGTAATTTGCCGTCCGATCCCAGATACACTGGTGATTCTTGCCATCAAATCCATGATCACCCCATCCAATGAAATTGGGAAACTGAAAGAAAAACGCTATGATCCAAGATATTACACAGAGGACCATGCATATCTTACGTTTGAAGAGTGTATAATATATACTGTTGTGACAAACATATATATAGCGGTTGGTGCTGACCAGGCTGAGACTGAGGAATGCACAGAAACAAGCTGTCAAGCAGACGCTGGAAATCAGCTCACAAAACCAGATCTTATCATCAAACCAAGCTTGACCTTTCACCACTCCTGTTAAAAAAAATAAAAACTTTTATTCGTAAAATAATGTTGGTTGGTGTTTAAAAAAAACAAAACAAAGAATAGACCGAGCAATACCAATTTTTTTGTTATCATTTTGTCTCTTTTAATATAACAAATGAAGAATAACAAAACACCACAGACCTAAAACACTGTATCAAAATTATTCTAAGTCGAAAATCTTGTGGAATGTAGTACCACACAGACATATAGGGAGGTCTGAGAAGAAATTTTGGAAAAAACGTCCAATATCTTGTGGAACTGTTGTGGTGAAAACACCACAGACCCAAAACACTCTATGAATATTATTTTAAGTCGAAAATCTTGTAGAATGTATTTTGGACAAAAAAAGACCATTATGTTGTGGAACTGTTGTGGTGAAAAACACCACAGACCCAAAACACTCTATGAATATTATTTTAAGTCGAAAATCTTGTAGAATGTATTTATTTTCAGAAACCCAATATCTTGTGGAACTCTTGTGGTGAAAAGTTCCACACAAATGCCCACAAACCTTGCCATAGATGATTAACAACGGCGAAAGTATTGTTCGTCTCCGAGCAGTATTGTTTACCGTTTTGATAGCCTCGTTTGTCACGCAATTAGTTTTTCTGCAATATTCTGCTATGCACTTGTTAATTGGGCGTAATAAATGTCGTGAATCATGACGTAACGTTATGTAAACATATCTAGAACTCTGTTTAAAGCCGAAAGATATTGTTACGCAGTTAGGTATTGGTTGTCAATCGGACTATTGGCCAGTCATAATTTGGAACAAAAATTTATTTTCGTTACCGCAGTGTTTTAGTGGGATTAGGTCTAATCAAACAACACTGTGATCAGTATGGGTCGTAAGCGAAATTATCAAATAACTGGTCTGATTCCGATTTCTAACTCAGGGGCAAATAACTCGTCTGAAACCCATTCTCTTTCAGTAGATATAATAATACCAAGGTTGAGAAACAGTTGGAATAAAAGTTCACTACTCTAGATTCCGTCAACCAGTAGCAATACTCAGTAATTTTCGAGTGGTGCAGGGTGGATGGGACGATGGGACGAAAAACCAAAGTTCCGTGTACACATTGGCGTGCACGTAAAAGAACCCTTGACAGGTGGAATTTGATATAAGTAGGCCATAACGCCGCTGTCCGGGCAAAATTCCCCTCATAACAATTTTTCTTTTCAGCCCAGTAGGACGTTGAACCACATTTCATTTCATTTCGTTTTGCAGATTTCATCATCTTAACCCAGTCTAGTATGTGTCTTCTTTATCATTATTTAATCAAGGATATTGTGCTGGGTTGTTTCGATGTGTTTCAACTTCCAACTGCACAACAACCAACACTGTGAACAAAAGGGGTCTATATCATAATGTAATCGGGCGAATTTCAGATAATTCTAAATAGGTTTTATTCTTACAATTAATAAATTCGGCCCAATATAAAATGTTTAATACGTCGTGCCTATCCACACAGTGTTAAATTCAGTTAATCTATATTTTAATGGGCGTTAATCCAGCTTGAACCCCCATTTATATCAATTTCATATTGTCTTATATATTTCCCTAATCAACTGTCTCCAATATTCTTTGTTTTACACTATTAATTTTATCTTATAAATTGTAATTAACTTCTGCGGACTAACGCGTTTCAGTTACCATAATATTGTTTGTTTGTATATGTGATATATTATAGGATTAATGCCATTGGTAACGCATGGTGATAGATTAATACGAGTCAGACAGGGAAGAACTTTTCTGCAAACCTGTCATTAGGCGATCAACGTAGATCACATTCCTAAGGACGACCTTTATGTACCCGTTTATGTCAATTCCAATATTCAAACTGGAGCTTATCTACCATTAAGCACTGAACCAAGATTGTTAACATTAATTGTGTGCTATACTGTATGCTGATTATTTGTTAACCAAAGAATATAGTAATATTAACAACCATCAAAAGTCCGGCGTACAATAATACTGGAATTGTGTGACCCTATAACATGTTTTCTGCTATAAATGAAAAGAAATGGAGTTTAACCCAAGCCTCTCATTGATTCGATCAGGAATTCCCAGGTTTTTTCCAAATCTCCTCTTAGAAAAATTGGATGAATTGGGAATAACCATTTACTTATATAAAACATTTACTTAGAATACACATCGATGAAAAGAAACGGGGTTTAACCTATGGCGGTATATTAGATTCAAATTTCAAAATTTTTTAATGTCGTGCTATCGTCTAATTTCTAACGTCTATTCATGTAATTTCTAAATTAAGATAATGTATAGAACAATTTCTTTATTTGTTCAGCGTAAATTTTAATTCTATTTCATCTTATTTATATATAAAGACGAAAAATGTCTTCTTCATTGACGCTTTAAATGTTCAGAATTTTGACACATCTTCCTAGCAACCATCATTATGAAGTCGTTTGGTGTCGCCTTTGTGAGTGAGCCCCTGATCGTGAACATTACGTCTATATTAAACACTCGCTGTCCGTATGGTTGAACGGAATGCTAAAATTGGAAACATCGAACGTGATACAGTTTTCAAAATGCTATGTCCAATAGGCTATAAATATTTGTTCAAAGACTGAACCAGTTGCATTCACAGAAAAGTGATAAAGCACATTTATTACACTGATCAACTGTCGCACGTTGAAAAATAGTAATGCGATTTCGGGCATTTTATTTTGTTACTTGAAAGATAAAGGATATTTTCGACAACTTCACCACAATGACGTCATATCGAACCAACGCCATTAAAGCTTCTTGCAATTTACACGGCGAAGTGCGAGATCAATACTAATTATCGGGCAGAAAAATCACTATATTTTAAAAAATTCAGGGATACAGTAGATTAAATCGGATCTCCCTTATGCGCTAAAAATAGTACTTAAAAATATTCACGTCATAACACCTCAGCCGAAATTTGTTACGCAGTAGATTAAATCGGGTCTCCCTAATGCGCTAAAAATAGTACTTACAAATATACACGTCATAGTACCTCAGCATTTTTTTTGAAAGCAAGTGCAGAATTTGGAGAATTTTATTTGATTTTCTTACAGTTAAGCCAGTTAATATTTATAATCTGTTAATTTATATTATATTACTGCTCTAAAAAAATGTCACTTTATAATGACACACATTTTCTTGAAATGGTTCAAATATATAAATTTAGAAACCCCATATTGTGTGGATGAAACAGCCTTTAAGGAATGCCGGGATAATTATGTGGATCTCGATATAGTTTCTTGTTCTGATGATAGTCGTTTTTGCCAACCATATATAATTTAAGTTCCATTAAGCGATATGGAATTCAAAACAAACGTAGGTCGTAGCGCCGTTGTCGACAGGCCTATAAATTTCCCTCATAGAACACTGTGAAGAAAAGTAGGTCGTTAAACCCCTTTTCATTTTAGTTTAATTTCGTCACGAATATCGCTATCTATGAAATTCCGTATCACTTAATAATAATATATGGTTGAAAAAAAAAACTACCATGAAGTTAACTCAGGTAGGTATAGTGAAGGCATCAGAAATAGAAACTTCATTGCGACCCACTCGAACATACTATCCCGGTCTCCCTTAAAGGCCGTTTCATCCCCAAATTTGGGGTTTCTAAACGTTATATCTTTGAATCATTTCAAGAAAATGTTATCATTATAAAGTGACATTCTTTAAAACAGTAATAGAATATAGATCAACAGTATATAAATGTTTATTGGCTCAACTGTAAACCGAATCAATTACAATTCTCCAAATCCTGCACTTGTCTTCAAAAAAGAACCAATGTTGTATAGCCTATTTCACATGGTATTTTGAAATTCATGCAGACAGTCTTGGACGAAATCCATTTTCGGTTGCCCATTGATGAAGTGAATTCAAGCTGCAACTTAAGTTCGATTATCCGCATGTCTGTAGAACCATAGCACATCTGAAAGTCATCAACATAAAGAGCTCCGTTTGTACCTGGTTTAAGGTTCGCTGGGGTGGTATAAATGTTTATTTCGCTGGGGGAATGAGTCAGAGAATACTGAATCCAGTCGTACCTTAAATGACCTATCTTTCAGGAAATTTTTAATGAAGATAGGTAAGCGACCGCGAGGGCCGAGGTTATGGAGGTCGCGCATGATACCATGCTTCCATGTAGTATCATAAGCTTTCTCCAGATCGAAAAATATTGCAACTAAATGTTGCTTTTGGATAAAAGCGTCCCTGACGAACCTTTCAAATCTGACGAGATGATCAAGAGTGCTCCTTTTGGACAGAAATCCACATTGGAGGTCAGTAATGAGGTTGTTGGACTCAAGGTACCAAACAAGCCTTCGATTGATCAATCTCTCCATGGTTTTGCAAATACAGCTAGTTAAAGCGATCGGACGATAGATAGTAGAATTCGTAGGATCCTTACTCGATTTAGGGATGGCAATTATTGTGGCTTTATGCCACGAGGGAGGGAAATCCCCATCAACCCAAATCCTGTTAAAAAGATCCAGTTAGATTAAGAGTGTCGGAAAAGGTAATTGTTTTGAAATTTGGTAGTGAATTTCATCTGGACCAGTTACGGTGTCCCGAGCTCGTTTTAGCGAATTCCGAAGCTCTGCTGTGGAAAAAGTATCATTGTAGCATTCATCATTACGGGACTTAAAATTAACTCGCCTTTTCTCCTGTTGACGTTTAATGCCTCGAAAGGCATCAGAGGAGAAATTGGATGATGAATTAAAATTAAATGAAATAGTTGTTTAATGCCTCGAAAAGCGTCAGAGGAGAAATTGGATGATGAATGAAAATATACTGGCCAGAGAATTGGCAATATCAGGAAATGTTGTTAAGGGGGTATTATCAACGCACTGTCTGTTCGAAAAGATACTCTGCTTCTAAAATTCCTCGCCATTTCTTCAGTTGTAAATTTGAACGGCTAAAAATTGGTGACATATCTGAAATTGTCATCCTGTTGCTCTCTTCGTCGAGCCTTAACGCCTAGAAATCG